GAAACCGGGCACCAATATTGTGCAACATCGTGTTGCGGTAATACTAACAGCCTTGTGCGGCGTAATATTTTAGTTATACTAACAGCCTTGTGTGGCATAGCAATGCAGTCGTACTCGTAGTGGGGCATGCAAGCTGTACTTTAGGGTACTGAGAGTACATGTTCTGAACGGTGAGTGTTTCAGTGAGAGATGCACACAGGAGCAGTAACTGGGCACATGGTGATTGTTGCACATAACGGTGCGGAACTGAATGTGCCATTAATTAATTTGGGATGAGCGACTGTGTAAGCGGGACCTCGATGTGTGCACAGAAGTAATCCACAACTAGTTGTCTCGGGGCTTCCCTAGTCTCGCACTATTCGGCCCTAAATGTAGGTAATGCGAACACCAGGCTACTGGTGTTTGCATGGATAATGTGAGATGTTACTAGCATATCTGATACAGTTGATACATGGGCTAGTGGCCGACAACCTGTGTACCAATTGGCCGAGTTTGATAGTGTGTATTTTAGCGCACTCGCTTCGGGTGTTTAGGTGCAGCAGGGTGTTTGGGTTGGACCGGCACTCTGCCCTTCTATCTCTAATAATCTGGGGTGAGCTCCTACTCATAGTGAGCTCGGACCCCAACCTGTCTCCGCACCTATTCTCAGAACGCGGTTCTCACCATTGCACCCCACCCATGGTACCATACCCAAAGACGCCCTGTTTATTATTTTTTTATACATGAATGTAGAGCAAGGGTCTGGAGCACCCCACATGAGCCCTGGGTTCTCGCACCCAAGCCTCCCGTGACACCAGTGTAGCATGCGCCCTGCACGCTAGACGTGTTTCATCATCGCACAACAGAGATTGAAACTTGCTCCTCCCTGACATACACTTTAAGAAACTCAAGAGAACGGACCAAACTGGTTATTTGCACACATTCACTCTCAGCTGGAATATGTGCACAAAATACGCAGGCTTCCCGCAAAAAAACAACTTTGCATCTGATGTGAGCACTGAGTGCTTTTCACGAGTGTGGGAGTAGGGCATTGATGCTGGACATAGCTGGTTGCAGTAAGCCTGCACAATCAAACCTTGTCGAAATGGGAGGCAGAATTTTAAAAAATAAACTAGTATATAATTGGCATCAACGAGATGAGTAGAACATGGGAAAACTCAATACTTCTGAAGAGCAGCGACCTTTTCTATCATACACGAAGGGTTTGGAGTAATAATTGAGGAGTGAGATTCTTAATCTGTCCAGAAATCAGAGTTGCCCAGCTCACACTAAGGCTCTTGAACACGATAAATTAAATATCATTCAGGTATATGCTCCAAAAGCATACCAGGAGGAAAACGAAATGGACCAAATGTATAAAGAAATTTCTTAAGTAATAGATTAATATAAATTACATTTAGAAATCTTAATGGTCGACTTCAATGTAAAAGTCAGTAAAATGTGCAGAGATGAGATGATGACGATAATAGGTATGTTTTGCAATACTAACTATAACTACTATTAATATATTACCAGGTAAGACCCACTGAGCTATAGCGCTCTTTCAGAAGCAACCTGGCCACAAATGATAGCTCAATGAAGTGGCTTATCATGTGGAATTTTATAACAGCCAAATACTCTATAGTAATCGTAAAAGTCAACACATTAATCAATTACACTGACTTACAAAGAAAAATATATAATAGGCAACGTTTTAGGCAAAGCCCTATTTGATAGCACAGGGCTACTGATGGAACGGCCATTTCTCAGAATGTCACCTATTATATACTTATCCCTTTAAGGCAGTGTTATTGACAAAGGTGTTGCGTTTTTTGTTATTTGTGCTTACACACCACTGCCATTGCAATATCGCCACATACTTTGCATATAACCATGCATTAAAGATATATGGTAGCCCTAAGGACATCTGATTACCCGATGCACTATTCACACCCATGTTTTGCACTCCACCACAGTTACATGAGGGCAAAATAAAGCGAGATGGATGTGGCATGCCAAAATAATTCCCCAAACAGCATTTTGGACTATTCTGGCAGATTGTAAGCACTGTTTACACATGTCTCTGTAGACAAATGGTCGTGTTTTGGGCAAAACTATTTTCTAGTGGCAATGAGTGATGTTTGAGGAGCAAGACAAATAGATGTTATAGGTAGGGATTATGCAATGAAACGATATTGGGCAAAGTGCATTGCACTTCAAGAAGACTACACAGTAATCGTTTCGTTAAGGTCAGTAATTATTGTTTTCGATCAAGTCACAAACATACAAAAAAATCCCTTGTATGTTGCATTGGTGGCATCTGATGAGGGCTAGATCAAAAAAAAAACTTGTGTTTTTAGTTATCAATAATAAAATGGATGTAGTGATATCAGCAAAATTAAAGAAATCACGCCATGATAATAATAGGAGTGAAAGAAATTCTCAAAATAGATTAGGTAGGCCAGGATTTATTACGTGATTATTATTATTTCTACTGGCTGAGTAGAGATCAATTTTATGATAATGGTATCATTTATTTCCACAATCACATCACTCCAGAACTGTACTGCACTGCTTGGCACATGCATCATTAAAGTATTACATTGAACAACATTTTTCTGGAATAATTAATTACAGGTATGGCAGGCAATTATATTTGTAAATATTTAGAGATAATTAATTTTGGTCACTTCCGAAAAGGATCACTCTTTTAAAAAGGTGACTATATATGTTGTGTACAGCAATCCTTTTCTATCAAGATATTTAACTAAGTGCAAATATAAAATATACTTTTTAAATTTAACGAGCCATCCATTACCATTGGTGAAAACTTTGACCTTAGCATCTGCCATTGTGCAGTCGTCAGAAACAGTAATGAGTGTATTGACCTTCAGAAGCTCTGAAAGAACATAAAACCAATCTAAAAACCAGAATGCAGGCAAGACAACATTTCAACTAGCATATTGTTTAAATTGCTTCTTTAAAAAGGTTGTAATTTATTATTAAAGCAACTATTTAGATACACCATGTATGCATACTTTATTTTATTCAACTAATTAATAACCCAATATGAGCTCAGTTGAAGACTAACATTTGAAGGGAAATATTGAGCAAATTAAGTCAGGTGCATGTGAGTGTGTAACATGCAAGGGAAATGTGTACTAAACATATAAAAATGCTAATTTTCTGATATATAGTTTAGGAACAAAAGGTTAACATTTTAAATGTTGAAATATATCAACTACCAATTGTATTTTAATATACATGTACTTAAACATACATTTTTATTTTAAAAATATGCAAATTAGGCATTTTATTTTTCTGTGATTGAGTAGGGAAATGTGGACATAACAAAATTAATGCATAACAGGAGATGCCCTCTGATCACTATAGATGCAGTGGATTGTGTTTGCCTGCAGCACCACATCACCGCACGTTTCCTGTAATTGGAGGTGATGTGCAAAAATAAAGTAATTATCAATGAAAAAATACACAAAGTTGATATCTGAGTTTGAACACTATTAACCTGGACTCAAACCCGATGTGAAACGGCACAAGTCTGTTTGGTGCACAATGCCAAGGATTAGATGTATCTGTGCATCTGGTTTTTTAAAATAATATTTACTGTAATAAGAGGCCTACGATAAATATGAGCCATAAAGGACTGCAGTGATTCCCTGCTTCGCTCATTTATAGCATGGAGCTTCCCATGCCTACCTTCTTTCTATAAAAAAATGCACTGGAAGATAAGAGAAAGTCCTGTGCCGAACCATCAGTTCATATATACCACGTTTTTAATGCACAATTAAGAAGAGGATGTGCGATGTAGTTAAGTAAGATAACTAAAAGCAGAAATGTCAACATAAATCGAAAATAAAAATTCATCCATTACTTATTATTTATATCATATATCATACAGGAGAACATCTCTTGTCTGCAACCCTGTTACCCACAACTCCTAACATCTGTGGGAACAGTAGAGTTCACAAACACTCAAATATCTGGTGGCATATTCATGCTGGCCCTTGTTTACTCCACAGGAAAGTATTGTTCTCCTGCCTGGTTGAGGAGCGGTCACATCCAATACCTAGACCCCATCCTACACTCAATAATGTGACCATCACTGTTGCACTAACCTTGGCTACTCTTCCTTGGTTACTAGCCCTATCAAACAGTCTTCAACCTGAAACCCACAAGCTTCACTGATGGCTGTATGACTACATCTACGCCAAATGCAACGCACACCTAACCTATTCACGAAAGTTTCAGGAATATATTGCACACTCAAATTCCTGTCCCGTAAGCCATTTTGGCTGAGGTCCTCATCACGTCAGGAATTTACACGAAAGAACACTGGAAACAACTTTGGGTTAACAACGACATTCCAAGCAAATATTGAATTCCCGATCACACCACTGAACAGCCTGATGCTGACCTCCGAAAACAATGTAGGAAACTCAATCAAATCTACACAACCACCAGATCCAGCCAACTCCTTAATGAGTAGAAAATCAAGGCAAGTCTGAAAGGTGACCGAGGCGACCCTGACGAAACCATGGAGTGCATTGTGAACTCCTACCAACTATGCAAATTCAACAGAGGCACTGCAGCAATTCATTCTGCCTCGCGTGAACCGATCGCATGGCTTCAAACGTGGATATAGTTGTTGCTATCTTTAAGTTGCAATTCACTATGCCATATGCAAGAAGGGGTGGGGGTGGAGGGTTATGGCTCCCCATCTGTAAGAACGGAGGACTACACCAGCAACACTACCCACTCCCCATCTTATCCTCACACCTGTAAAAGGGTGAAAACTGCCTATTTTTATGGATAATTCTAATGCTACATTTTCATGTCTAGAAAACTAACTTTTCTAAGAAGACATTACGAATTTAAACAAAAAAGTATCAATGAAAGTGATTTAAATGAGATTTTAGGGTTCCTGTCAACAAAACGAATGCAAAACATAAAACAATGATGCATTTTTTCTGAAGGTTAACATACTTCCTGCTTGGTCTTACCTCTGGATTTTTGTTTGCTCTGGAAGAAGTACAAGCGCTTGTGACTTGAGTACCGTGTGGGGTTTTCTCAAGGGAGCTTCTCATTCAAGGGGAATGTCCTCTGCAGTGGTTCGCTGACTCCTGGCAACAACATTTTAACAGAAAAAAAGCTCATTAACAATTTGCTCTATAAATTGTATGCAGTAATACATTATTTCTCCTTTAAACACCAGTCCCTTAATGCTAAAGTTGGCCTGTCTTTCTTGTGCAAAGTCCTATTCAGTCAAACTGAGTTGTTTGTGTAATGACAACACGGAAATATGCATATTCCACCATGGTAAATCATATTTAAGAAAGTTTAAAGTGGCTTAATATGGTGGCAGATTTGTTGGGACCATTTTTGTGACATGCAACTGCCAGAACTGCTCATGAATTCCATAATTTTGTTTTATCCACTCTACATCTTGCCTACGCCACTTCACTTCATGCCATTCTGCATTGCAGACTGAGGACCAGTGGAAAGCATTCTGCAATGAATAGTGATCTAAGACATCTATAAAATCTGCCCAAGTTTACAAAAAGAGCCATTATTTTGTCAAAACAGGGCATAAATACATCAACAAATAACACAGCCATAACTTTTAAACTTCTCTTCATGTTTTTTGTGCTAGTATAGTTCGTACACTCCAGCGGTTGTACTTATTTTATTTCCATAAATTTGTCCATTAAATGTTGGTTTGGACACTCAGAAATGACTCATTTTTTCTCACGCAATGAAAATAGTCTGAACGTAACTAAAATTGAGCGGCGGAAACATGGGTCAAGTTCACACGATGAGCTGCCGGGTATAACAATAGGTTTTACCTTTTCTGGCAGTAAAACAGGTGTCAAGATGTTAAAACACCAAACAATTCTTATTCAAGGAATCCTGTCTGCATTAACCACACGTTCTTGTGGTGAACATGCAAACAAAAAAACATGCTCTGATAATATTCTATGGTTCTTTCAGTATTTTTCTATCTACGTGACTTTACCGAAAGAACCATAGAATATTAATTTACTGCAGTCACGAAAGTTTTAAGCCAAAATGCTCTGATAATATATGCATTGTCGTTGAAACTGATTGGTCCACACCAGAGACAGCTTTCTTCTGAACGTCATCACAAAGTGTTAGAACAGAGAACGCCAAAAGGCGAACAGCACAAAGACAACGCACTATCAGGGCATTTATAGTTTGGGGTGAGCAACTACAATATGGGACCAGTATATAACAATAAGTTTTACCCTGGCAATAAAACATGCAAACATAAAAAAGCATATTCTTGGTTCTTTCGGTAAAGTCACGGTAAAGTCACGTCGAAGGGAAATAATACAATAATAAAAATATATTGTATATATAAAATAATAAAATATATTGTTTAATATTTTTGTTATTTTATTATTTTATTATTTCCCTTCTACGTGACTTTACCGAAAGAACCAAGAATATGAATCCCTGCAGTCACGAAAGCTTAAAAAAAAGCATGTTTATTTTTGCATGTTCACCACAAGCACGTGTGGTTAATGCAGACAGGAATTCCTTGAATAAGGATTCTGTTTGGTGTTTTAACATCTTGACACCTGTTCCATTATATAATTATATATTTGATTATCAAAAAAATATATCTAATTTTCGATTCATGAGTGGATGTTTCTATCAGGAGGGTAAGAGCATTATTTTTTTCCTCAGTCCACACCGCAGCGGGCTTGGTTATGTTGCAACTTGGGGCACGACCCAAACAATGGCAGAATAATGGCTATGGTGGTGCTTTCACAGCAATTCAGGAACACTTTATGCCTGTTGCATAATTAGATGACACCATAAATTAAATCAGTCCTATACACATGCCCTCAGTTACTTACACATCCATTCAAACATATACATACATGCACTCGCTCATATTACGATATAAGGAAAGTGCTTCCTTAAACGAAAAGCTACCATTAAACATTGGTCCAGAAAGCCGAAAGGCTCATGGACTGACGACATTTTATTTTTACCTGGAAAAACTGACTTACTTCATTCGTAACAGATGGGACTTAATCTACCAGACAGTCTAATCAGGATTGACTCAGCCTATCATAATCAGTAGCAACATTCGTATTAACATGAGCAGCAGCCGTTTCATAATGATAACTATCAGCATTAGCAACAGTAGTATCATCAACACCAGCAACAATATTATCATCATCATAATCACCATCCATCCATCATTTTATGACAAACCAACAGCAGCGGACATTCTGTGGGTAGACTGGATCCTGTGCTCGGGAAAGCATAATTTCCACGAATTATTTTTTATTTGGGTTATTATGGATATTGGTCGCGAAAGCCCGCGTGTTATAATTTCCTGTGCTGACTCAGGGCCACCATGGAGATGAGCACCAGGGGTTCAATCTGTGCTTTGTAGGATAGTCTGTTCCTAGTAGGCTGTCCTGCTAAGCTCCAAATCCGCCGGTGATATAGAATGATTTGGAACTGATTTAATGTGCTAACAGCTGGCACCAGCAGTGTCAAGATCATCCTCTGTTGAAAGGGGGCTTGTGAAAGACAATACTGGGCAGTGGCAGTAGCTGCCCTCCAGCAATTTGACAATTATAAGATTGCTGGGTGGTTAAAATACGGCAAATTGACAAAGTCGGGAGTGAAGATTGTGCATCTGCCAATCTTCTTACACAGTTAACCCATGATACCAGGGTATGTTCAATTAACTCCTGGCAGGAAGTCTTCCACATTTAATGTGGCCTTAAAAGTGGTTGCTGTGATAATGGACAACACATCTTTCTTGTAAAATATCCAGGCAACTAGCTAAATGGGCTCATCTGTGTAACTAATAAAATAAACTCAAAACTACATGTACATGTGTAGGTGGATGTAGGCCATGGTCTAGGGATGACACAATGATGTCATGATGCTATGGAAGATTTTCTTCTTCCCACGCAAAAACGTTGGTTCTCATATTGGAAATGGACTCATGCCACAGATTCTGCAGGCCAATAGAGTGCTCTGCCACACTCATGACGAGCAAATAATTGCCATGGTAGATTATTTCCCAACTTACTGATTTGATGATGTCCACATTTATTATATGTGGTTTGAGGGTTTTCCCTTTTTTCATAATGCAAATGGTTGCTTTCTGAGGGATAACATCAAGAATGTCTTCCTCATCTGAGAATTATTGCCCACCTCTTGACATTTTCATTTCTCGTTGTAGACATCAGCATGAAATTCCACCAAATAGTTTAATGATTTTGTGTATTTTGTGTTATGGTTCCACTTTTCTTTATTACCGCTACCATGTAATTCCCAATTACCAATGGCCTTTTCTGCGTTAATGCTCCCATTGCTTATTATGACATTTTCAAACACTTTCATTGTGTTCTTTTATTTCTGTTCTCATTATTTATCTATGTATTCTATCTTTGGAATTTTCACCCTTTGTCAGCTCTCTCCTTTCTTTATGCATGTGTGGTGTCAAACTTATAGTATACTGCCCTTACAATGATAGTTATTTCAATATATATTGTGATGACATCTTGTTCATCATGTTGCCTCTAGACTGTTAATATGTTGCTTCGAATCAGCCAATTTTATACTTCCTTATGAGCTAGTCCTTTAATGGATCCAGAGCTTAGAGAACTGGGGCCCGTGGTTTAGGCATGCCATTCATATGAGTTGTTGACCACAATTAATTTACCATGCTGGTCAGTGCGGGATTGAAGGCAGCACATTTTGTCTAGCTTCTTGCCGAGTACCTCAGTGATCATTGTTTAGTTGCTTGCATCAGATGTATCAAAGTCAAAAAATACCATAAAAATTAATCAAATTAAAATCTTACAAACATTGTGACCCTAATTATTTTATTTTTCACATCGATTTAACTGATTAGTTTTCAGTTCTTAATTCAAATGTAATAAAATCTGCTAAGTCCACTTTTAAAAGTATATATTCATAAACATTACAAATTTGCATTCCCTCCTTAAGAAACAGTGTGAAAACTAAGGTAACCCCTGGTTCACTTCTGAACTAAGTGACCACCTCAGGCTAAGGAATAAAGTGTGGCACATAAAAAGAAAACAAACATGACTGAAGCATCTCCCATATAGGTGTACTGTTCAAATACAAAAAGCTACTTTAAATATTTTAAACAAAAGATACTTCGAAAAACAATCCCAAAAAACTATTGGTCTGTCATAAAACCCCTCCAGAACTGCACTACTCAACACTCCCCTATTTCTAGTCTATGAATGGAAGTGATATTTATGGTGAAAATAATATGCTTGATGCCTTCCAGAAAATACCTTTGAAACAAGTAATATTTCATCGATTCCTACCACTCATCCACCCGCAACCAAGCCTAAATAGTCCACCCCTCTAATTTACTTCAGAACATTGGACACTTTACTTACATAATTGCATTCATACAATACCACCAGAACAGATGGCATTACTCCTATATTTCTAAAAACAGGTGTTAATGCTCTTGAGCCCCTAATACGTTCCAACTCAATACCAATTGAATGGAAATTGGCACGTGTCCATCTTTTTATGTAAATGGTGGATTAAAATAATCTATCCCATTGTCGGCCTATCTTAAATCTCTATATGTTCACTAAAACACGAGAAAAGCTGGTTCAGATATAATTGATTGGCTATCTAGAGTTTTACGGAAAATTAACAGAACATCAAACTAGCTTGAGGCCTAATCATAGTGTAGTGAGTCCAACTGAGTCGCAGACGTTATCTTGGGAGCAACACTATTTATTTACACAACAGTACATAACATAACAGAACCTACGCTCGGGTCTCGGATGCCCATCTAACCACGCTACGGCAGAATGAGACACGGTTCGCTATCCCGATTAGGACCACAAGCTGAGTCCCGGACCACATGGCTAGAAGCTACTTCTCCCCGACGTGGATCTTCGAACACCAACACTTGAAGAACCCCGAGCTCCTCACGGAGCTCTCATTATATGCCCCCGGGCTGGGGCTGGCTCCGCCCTTAGCCCCGCCCACCTTCCAGGCTTCTCGAGCTCCCTCTCGAATGTTCCCGAGAGCTCTTCGGGACCACGTGACCGCCCCATGGCCCCCGTCCACC